CGTACTAATTGCCGGATCAGAAAGGGAGGATTCTTTACTGCGGGAGAGTGGTGTGTATTACAGTGGTCTCCGTTTGTAACTTTGTTCTTGGTATTAATGTTAGAATTGCAGGACTACTGAGTTGTTAGGCCTTCTGTGTTAGGACAAGTTATTGTCTACCGGGGGAGCCTTCCTGTGTATTTTTATCGACTGGAATATTATACACCAGTGCGACTTCCCTTGTGGCCACTGATTGCTGTACAGTTTTCTCTCCGCAGTGCTTATATCTGGCATGTACCTTTTGCATTGTAGTTTATGCTGCAATTTCATGTCAAGGCAGCGGCAGCATTCCCTCCTAGCTGTTGAACCTGGGGGGAGTGATAGAAGTTGGAAGAAGGGTATGCTGGTAAAATCCCCTCCTCTTCTGTTTTATTTGTTTTTTTCTTTTCAAACCATGCTTCGGGAAACAATTAAGAAAAGGGTGCTAAGTAGTCTGTTACAGCAGGCTTCTCGTCTGATTCATAGGAACATAGCTGCTGAGGGGTGCGGGGTGCCGAGTTAGCAGTGAGTCGCTTCCTTCTCGGTTTTCACTGCTGAAGAAGGAGAAGATAAGGAGGCCATTAGAGTTGCAACCTGTGCTCGGGAGGCTGGAGTCTGTAAGGAACAAAATCTTAAAAGATTGTTTCACTCTCTTGTGCTCAAGGTTCACCATGACTCTAAATTACGTCCTAGACCTAAACCAAGGCTGGAAGTTTCAATCACCTGCGCTGTAAAGCGCCTGCACCACGTGGCCACATTCAACCAAACTGACAGAGTTTCACGCTGCAGAGTTTCTTAAGCTAAGAAGCTCTCAACTCACCTGGATGTAAGTCCTTGTGTAGCTTACAGCTGAAATTTGGAGCTAGTTCTTTCTAACTGGCTTTGCCTCTAGTGCTGTAATGTAGTTAGGTAATAAAAGGGAGGCTAACATCATAATTCATCTGTAGAAAGGAAAGAGACAGACCATACCCTGAGGAAACGCAAAAGTCAGTTCTGGTCCTAATCAAATAGAAAATGCTGTACTTTATCGTGTTATTCTTATAAGTGTGTGCCTTTTAATTATTTCAGGCTTTTATAGAATTATCCCATATATGTTTATATCTGTGTCAGTTAGTACTGGTCGTAATATAAAAATGAATCAGAGCAAAGGTCCGTCTAGCTCCATATCCTGCCTCTGATAATGGCTAATAACTTGTGTATGGAAAGGGTATAGAAAACAGGACGAGTATAGAGTGATACTTCCTTTGATAAACCCTCCCAGCTTCCAGTGGTTTCTGGTTTAGGGACCTTCCTGAGCTGGAGGCTGCAGCTGTATCATTGTTTTTGATACTCCTTGATGGACCTTTTTCCATAAAAGCGTCTAATCGTTTTTTGAAACCCACTTGTATTTTTGGCTGCCACAACATCCCGTGGCGATGAGTTCCACAACATCATTAGGTATTGTATGAAAATGAACTTCCTTTTGTTTGCTTTTAAACCTGCTTGCTGCCTGCCAGTTTGAGTTGGTGCCCTGTTTTTTCTGTTAAGGCTACTACTGAATAATCATTACTGTTTACCTTTTCCTTGCTGTAACAGCTTGTCTAGATCTTCATTGTTATTATTCCTGTTTTCCAGGCTGAAAGGCTCTGGTTCGCTTATGTTTTCCCTATGCTAAGGCTGTCCCGCATCTCTGCCGCAGCTTGGTACAACATTGTTCTCGCCCTTTCCGTAGCTTTGTCTTTCCACAGTTACTTCCACACTATTGAAGAGATGGGCCTACTGTGGATTTACACAGAGGGATAATGACATCTTCTGCCTTATTCCTCTCCTAAAAATTCCTGATGGGGCATTTTCTCCCAGCTGCTGAACCTGTGTTGATCTTTTCAGAGAACTATCCACATCTCTAAGATTTTCTTCCTGAGTGGTAACAGTTGATTTAAAGCACAGTGAGGATGGCTTTTCCTCATGCATTATTTCTCATTTTTCAGCAACTTTGAATGAAGTTTACTATTTTATCGCACACTCACAGAATAACTTTTAGATTAATTTCTGGGAATGGCTTTGTAACACCGGCAACCTATCTACAGCATTTCCAGGTCGTCTGTGTGATATGGAACAGCAGTGGTCCCATCACAGACCCGATTTAGACTCCATTGGGGTGCCCCCTGCATCACTTATGTTGGACATCTATTTCTCTTGGTTATTAACTTTTCAGGGGTTATTATGTCACTTTTTCTCTCTTTCCTTCTTCTTACAGCAAGGCTCATTTATGAGCCGGGTTTCCTACCATAGTTAATAGTCTGGCAGTTTCCCGTGTGATACCTGTGGGGATTATCAGTTAATTCTCATACCGGTTTGTTATTTTCATCTGTGCTGCTGCCTCAGATTCATTCTCCCTGCAAAAAGGTTCTAGTTTTCTGTATTAAACATAGACACAAAGATTCATTGAGCTTTCCTGCTATCACCTGATCACCTGAGACTGTTCTTTAAATACCTCAGTCAACCCCTGCTCCTGTGAACCGCTGAGGCTGAGGCACAGATTTACACATTGGAACAGAGTTCTGCATTTTTCTGTGGTCAGGTTGCTTTGGGATTTTTGGCCCAGTAGTTGAACTTCTCTGTGTATCTCTTTGAGGATAACGATACTTGTTCTCTCACCGGAGAACTAAAACTGAAATGGGTTAGTGTGTGAGGTAGAGTTAGAAAGTCTGAGCTGGAAGTTATGCTGGAAATGGATGGATGGATAGTATTGTTATCGGACAACCTAGAATAAAGAACAGAGGAATGGAAAAGGGAAAAAAAAAAAAAAACCTGTTCCTAAATATACTTAAAGATCACAATTGTGGCATTTGTGATGGCCCTGAAGCTTTTCAGCTTAACTCGGCTAATGGTTCACACAAGTAATGTTACTCAAGTTCATTTTTATAGTACTGGGCTGTAGGCTTATGAGAAGACACACACTAAAAAAGATATTTAAAAATATAAATATCCTGATTTGCTAACTATTTAGTAATTATTCTTTTCTGTTTATAAATTCCCTTTACCTTGCTATATTTGTTCTTTCCCCTAACGAATTAGTTAATTAAAATACAGTATTATGCTCGTGTGGTTAAAAAAAAGCAGCCAGGTGCTTTGCAAACTTGACCAGATAAATATTAAATTGTATGAGACTCCCATGATCAAGTAATCAACTGTCCCACAAATCATATTGACTCATGACTTTATCTCTGTGAAGAAAGAAATTAGCAGATTATGTACACCAATCCGAAGGCATATTTTTGATGAGTTCTACGAGCAGCCAGAGGACGGGATGAGATATTCAACAGAGAGCCTGGCCTTGCTCGCATCTGATTGACTCCCATTGAAATTAACCCACTTCAGGATGAGATATGTTTATTTTCAGGACAGTTACCTGAGCTTTTTCATAACATGAGTTTAGTTAAGATTTGTCATGAGAAATTAGGAGTTAATAGAATCCGGTTTCTATAGCATTGATCTCACATAAATGCCGTATATAGTAGTTACAGTTAATGTAGATTGAATGTCATGTGAGATCTCAAAATGTTTATTTTACAGCATCCTTTGCTATGTTTGGTATTGCGTTGCAGTTGCCTTTCTGCAGATGGGAACAAGTAGGAATGCAAAAAGTAGCTGATTTGTTCAAGGACATGAGAAGATGTCTTCAGCACAGTTAACTGGCAGCTTACTAGCACTTTTGTTGACTTTGCCTTGGTCTGAGTAGTTATCTGGATTGTGCTGCTTGCCTTTTATGAGCAGCTAGCCATCCTCGAGGCCATGTCCTGCAAGACAGTTGTCCTAAGGATGTCTAGGGCCCTGAGCAACAAGCCTGAGCTATGAGTGAGGCAGAGTATCTGTGGATGCATGGCCGGCCAGAATGATGTGACGTGCTGCAGTCCGTATCCAAGAGGAGCAGCGAGCTGGCTGCAAAGCCTTTTTGAGATTGGGGATCCTGTAAGTCAGAGACAACTCTGCTGCGTGCTTCTTTGTGGTGAACCTCCCTTATATTTCTATCTCAGTTAATTGTGATAGCATTTGTCTATCCGAAGTACAGGAGGGGAGGAAGGCACAGAGGCTTAGTCTGCGTCCTTGCTGACCGCTGGGTCCAACACCAGCCCACGTGAAAGCCTTACTTTGGCGTTGAGGCCTGGTGGTTCTGGCCCTGGGTGGTATCGCTTGGTTTGAAGCATCACCAGCCTCAGAGCTTTGCCTGCGGACGGGAAGCAGAATTCAGGAAAGCACCAAGAGCCAGTTCTGCCTGCAGCGAGGACGGGAACACAGATCTGAGCACAGCTGAGACTAGACCTCAGAAGTCTGGATTCTCAGACCTCTGCTTAATAGCACAGGGTATTTATGGCCTTGATAAAATTAGGGAAGAAGGGAGAGGAGCATCTTATCATGCACTAGTCTAGAAATGTTGGGAAATCCTGTTGCCGAGGTTTTCTAAAAGTTTAGAAGCTTTTTACATATCTTCCTCAGCAACGAATGTGTCAGAATGTGAAAATTAAAATACCCTTCTCAGGAACTGGGAGGCATCAGCGTGTTAAACTCTGTGAAGCTCTTGCTGATGCTGGGCTATTCTTTATTTTAGTCTGAATTCGGTTATTTCGTTAGAGAAAAGATAATCAAATGCAAAAATGAAAATAAAAATAACATTTCTACAGCTTTCTTTGCAAATAAATAGAAACCTTAAGGCCAAGCTGGATAAGAACACAGTGGCTACCAACTGGAATAACTCGGCTTAGGCTTGATAGAAGGAAATGATAGGTCTCAAGTATATGCTACCTCACAGGAAGATTGTAATGAAATCCAGCCAGCTTCAAGGGAAAAACAAAACCTATTGATTTTATTCCAAGGGAAGAAAGAGAAAAAGAACAGATGCACGGAGTCCTCTGTCCACTTATTGCACTCTGCAGTGCTGACTTAGACACAGATAATAGCTCAGCCTTCTTTTCTTCTTGTGCTTCCTTCTGTAGAAATGCCGTGGCTCAGACACCAAAAAGATTCAATTTGGGGTAGTAGAGAGGAGGGGGAACAAGGACCTCACGCAAGAACTGACCTAAACGCTGAGGAGGTTTGTATAATCTGATTTACAATAAAATGGTATTTACAATGTTATCAGACGAAGCTTAGCAGTGTTAAGTTAAACAGCATATAATGTGATTAGTGGGGGAGTCATGCCCATGATGTCATGCATATTCTCTGGACGCTTGGAAGGGGCAGATAATGTCTCAGGCATTTATTCTCTTGTGACACATTGGAAAAAAAAAAAAAAAGCTCCGTAAAGGTTTTAGGGGAATGGGACGGAAACGGACACGCACGCGCGCCCGGAGCCGCAGCGGGGCTGACAGCTCCCCAGCCAGCCTCTGCCCTTGGAGCAGAGCTCGACCCGTGGTCGCGCCCCGATAGCGCGGTGCTGCGCGGCGGTTACAGCAGGCCTTCGGGAATCACTCGGAAGCTGCAAGCTCTGTTCTTGACTCTGCCACAGGCTTGGCTTTTGACCGCTAAATCTTTCTTTGCCTCTGGGGTTACTCCATTTTTAACAGTGAGGACAGGGAAAGGTAGTCAGCCGTATCTGGAAAACGCCCTGAGTGAGGAGCTGTACGCGGATGGAAACCACTGGCATTGTGCTCCTCGTGCAGTCCACAAAGGGCTTTGCTATAGATAAGAGCAAGCAATTTCGCAGCTAGCAATGGCCCATTCATAGAAAATCAAATCTTTATCTTTCTCTCTCTCTCTCTGGGGCATGTAAAATGGTATTAAAAATTTTGGCTAGACTAATTAATCATGTAAGTGATACAAATCACAGCTATAGGTTGACATCAAAGACGATCTAGCCCATATTTATTTTAAAGCATATCTTAGTTTATAAGAGCTCTTGGTAAAGGCATCTGAACCAGGCAAAGCTCCCTTTAAACTTTAAAATTATTGTAGTGTGTGTGAAAGGCCAGATTCTGGAGTGATTCCATGAAAGGAAAGTATTTTACTCCCCGTTTCCACCTGAGACAGTGAGCTCTGAACCCAACCCATATTACTTGATGAGTATTACTGTTTAATATAAGCACAAAGATTGCATAAACCTTCTTTCTGTCACGGTGTGAAGGCGGTATAAGTTGTTTAACTCTAGTGTGGAGATGGACTAGATGGTATTCGTGCTTTAAGGGATGCATAGAATGAATATGGGCTAGACTTAAGGTCAGATGGGAGTTGCAGATGTGGAGAGTGAAATGGGGCCCACAGACAGCTGAAAACGCTTGAAGAAAAGCGATGGGCAGGAAGGGACGAGTGGGATTAGAAACCATGGCTTGTGCAGTGTCAGCTCTGCACTGCATGTCAAAATCAACTGCAACGCTGGTGTGATACGCATCTTTTGTCACAACACACAGTCCTTTGTCTTGGCTGCAACACTGCTGTGTGTTTATGGCATTAGCGTGGATTTGCTGAGGAGTGCGTGCGTTAACTTTATTTGACTGCAGAGGGATGCCATCAGGAATAAAACTCTGTTGCTCAGAAAGGGGAAGCCAAACTTTTGTGTCTGTGACTGATGAATCGGGAGCAAGGGCCAAGTGCAATATCCACCAAACGCAGTGGAGCGCTGGCCAGTTTGATCAGACATGTGGGACGTACTAATAACAAGAGCGAATGAAAGCGAAGCCTGCAGGTAGTCACCTTTTAAATAATCAAGGCTGACAGTTTTACTACAGTAGCACAGTTTAACACTTTGTAGGTATGTGCTACGTCATAGGTGCTGCTTGTATTAAATAGTCTTGGAGCATTACACAGCTTATTTAGAGGAGAATTTTTATTTCAGGCATTTTTTACATTTGTTAATGTTTTTTTCCACTCGTTACAGTCGTTACAAATGGAATATCTTATTGTTGCAGACGGTACTGCCAATGGATGACTCTGAATGATGTACCAGAAGGACGTTTTAAATGACCTGCAGTAAACTCTCAAAGGACTGGGCATCCCAGACATATTCTCAAACAGAGAACATTTCCAGGAACGAGTACTTCTGACACCCGTTATTAGAACCAGGTACAAATAGTTATCTGATAGCTGGGCAGACAGAAGCTGTGTGAATGAAGACTGACTGCACACACAGTGCCGTGAGTCTCGAGAGCTGGGCTGAGTTACGGATGTGCTCCATTAATGTGTAAGAGGGCCTGTCCTGTGCCTCAGTTTACCCATCTGTAAAAGGGTGGGGAGTGATGCTTGGGATAGCATCTGGCCTAGCGTTTTGAGATGGCTACTGACAAATGCTACTTAAGGACATAGACAGTCCTTAAAGTAAAAAAGCCTAACAAACTGGAGCCTGAGTATCTCAATGAACCAAATGCCTTCCTCCCAGCTCTCACAGGAAGCAAGTTAATTGGTAGGCCAATAACTATAATGAGGCAGAACCTGGGGTTTTGCATGTGTATAGTGAGATCCTCCCCTTGGGGCCAAACTCCTGTTCCACATTATGAAAGCAGTAAAAGGTCCCCTCAGCAGGTGCTGCATAAAGGCGTTTCAGCTTTGCCTTTGCGGTGCTGGAATTGCCGAGCTATTGCTTTCCTGAGTCTCCAAATGAATTCCCCAACCCAATGTGGAACAGCTGTGTGATAGATACAGCCTTGAGAAAGGGGGTGGCCAAAGAGCACAGCAAATGGGGATTTAATCAAATAGCACAGAGCTGCAAAATAACATCAGCACGTTTCTACTCAGTTTTCCTTTGGGTAAGGCAGACCCTGTTAGTAAGGTGATTTAGAGAAGAGCGAGGTAATGTGTGATCATATGTTATTTAGGGCTATGTTGTTTAGTTAGAGAAAGTAAATAGCCCTGACTGTGTTTGTTAATGCAATGAATAGCGGTATCACTTATTAGAATGCTGCCTGAGATCTTTCTATCCTGAAAAAAGATTTCTTTTTTTTTAAACTGCCCGTGTAATGCGACTGCCTCTGCAGGGTTAATAAAGGAATGGTTTACCAAAGCACCCAGATTTTAGCCCTTCAAGCCAGCAAGTGAATTAGAAACTGCAATGGCATAGGACAGGTCTGAGAGGGTGGAAGTAACTTCAAGTAGAATTTGATTAGGCTGGGGGAGTATTTCTCTTCCTTCATGTGTGACTGTAGAAATAGGTGCTTTCTTCCTTATCGAAGCCTCCTGAGGCATAGTTTGTGCAAAAGATGCAACTCTCAGGTAAGGCATAATTATAGTAAGGACCAGAAATTGTGAGAGATGTTATTTTGTAGTTGTCCTTAAAATAGATACTTTTAGCAATACTGTTATTCAATGCTTTTTGAAAGGAAGTTTGTTGTATGTCAAGCCTATCTGTACGAGCTGCCACAGCATTTCTTCAGAGCTTTTCGGAGGTCTGTCTTCCTTGTCAAATCCTGACTATGCCTGTTTGATCTGAATGATTGCTCTGTTGCAAGTGTTATGTTTGAATATAAAACAGACAGGAAAAAAATGAAATGAAGGGAAAGTTTGTATCAAATACAGTACAGCTAGCTAACTACCATGGCAGGATAATCTCTTAGAAAAGTTGACACTGTTATGAAACTGTTATATTTTTTTCTCCTTTCCGTATCATAAAATGTCCATGAAATCCTTTTTGGCGTGTGTGTTTGTGCACTTTACAAAGTGATCAGAAGCTAAACAGCAACATGTGTCAGAGAAGATAAATGACCTACCCGCAAATCATCTTAGTTAAAAGGAAGACAAAAATCTATGGAGTAGGGGAATGGGTTTTAAATTGGCTGTTTCGCTAAACTCTGCCCTAATGAAGGGCTAATCTCTGAGCCCCTGCAAAACAAATGAGAACATCTAGTTAGACCCAACGGAAACCAGTCGTTGAAAAGGCTTTTTCCTTGTGAAGCTAATTGGAAGCAAAATAATTCCTTTGGTGGCTGTCTTCGTTTAACAGTATCTTTCCCTTTTCCTTATTTGTATACAGTAGAATAAGGATTCTGTTAATTGCAAACACGTTTGCCTTTTTGCAGATTGTCAACTACGTATGCTTGGGTGAACCTGGCTGGAGCACTCGCAAAAAAGGTGCAAAGATCTGCAACACAAGTTCTTCAGAGGCTGCCTGAGAAGATCCTCATCTGGAAGGCGACAAGGTAGCCTCCACACAAAAATCCTTTTTTGTGTATTGGGGCAGTTCTGTGCGCAGGGTTAAGCAGAGTGTGGGCCACTGTGGAAATCAGCTAAATTTACGCACGCTAAAATCTGACCTCAGATTTTGAGGCTTTTTATTCATTAAATCAGCTTCTCTTTTTTTTTGACTCGTTCTTCTATTCTTATATGTAATGGCAAAGGAAATTACTTTTTCTTAAAACTTAAGAAACTACAGAAGAAACATTGGACACTCGATTGCTATAGAAGCAGGATTGTGCCTTTAAGGCAGAAGGAAGGAGTGTGTCAGTCATGGCCCCTCTAAAACAAGGACTTATCTCGATTATAGTATTAGCTCGGTAGTAGAAGATGATCTCATCACTGTGAAAGATTACATGAAATATCAACTTGGCTGGCCTTAAAACAGCTCTATTCTCAGTTGCATTTTCAATTGCTACAGCTAACATGGGGCTCTGCAATTTGGAGAGATGGCTATAAAGATGTTTTGCAAAATTTGGCCTATGTATGAGTTCAAGTAAACAAATTCAGGGATAGATTACAAGCCTGACCTGCTCTAATGTTTCCTCTTTGACTTTTTTTTTTTTGTTTGTTTTAGGAATTTCAAGAGCAAGCAAAACTAACTCTCCAGGCCAAACCTGAACATCCTTAACTTCAGAGTACTTACAATTTATATCAAAACCTGGGAAAGTAGATACCTGTCTGATGAAAGCTCATTGAAGACAGCGTAGGCTATAACGTGATTTATTTTCTACCTGCAAGGAATAGTGTGTTTGAAGAGACCGAGTGCTTGAGACTATTTTGAGCAGCAGATGTTCTGGGTGCTGTAATCAGGAGGATGTGAAAATGTTTGTCTCAGGAGCACATGATAAGCTGTGCTTGTGCCTTCAGCTGAAGCCAGATGGCATCTTTCTTGAGCGAATGAATATTAGGTGTAATTTGTTCTTGGGTATTTTGGGGGAATCTGGTTTGCTTTGAATTTATATCCTTCCAAGTACATTTCAGCATGGAAAATGGTGTTTTGAAGTGAGCTAACTCAATTTTCTACCTTGAAGTTAAGCCATAGATCAATGGAAAGATGTCCTATGGGTGCTGGAATTGTCAGTCCGGCAGATAAAAACTTACCTGGAAGTAGATATTAATGTTTTACATCAACATCTAAAACACTTCCTAAAATAAGGAAGAACAGAAAAAGTATTTCTTTGCTAAATCACACAGAGGCCTGGCACGTGCATAATGTATTTGTTTATTTTCCCAAGCCTAAATTCAGAGATCACACCAATCCTGGCCCACCGGGGAGAATGAGAGAAGATACTTGGACAGCAGTGGCCAGCGTTTTCTCAGGCACTGACTCTAAGTGTGATCTCCTCAGAGCCTGTCTCATGTGGAGAAGGACACTTAGATTCCCCCAACTCACATGAGGAGAGGGTAGAGAAAGTTCAGATGCATCCAGAAAGGTAGGGGTTACCCTGCATCCCGGGTGATTTGAAGAAGCACCTCTCCATATGTTGTCGCATACGTGCTGGAAGAGGGCATAAGGGGATGCACTGTCCCTAATGCACATCATGCAGTCTTTGCCTGTTTCCCTGTCACCACTTCTTCCCTCAGATTCCACTACCTACTTGTCACCCTAACCATTTATCTCCCTCTTCTTGCTCTAAACCCGGTTTCATTCCTCTTGATCCACTTTCCTACTCAGTGGCTTCCTCCCGTGCTGTTTGCATGCATGGTCCTGCTCTCAAAAATAGTTTATGCTCCCGCTACCTTTTCTGCTGTGCTCAGAAAAAAAAAAAAAACGCCCTTTGACAGAGAAAAATTCTAACAAATGCTGTTGTTCCCTCCGCACTGTCTCCCGTCAGATTTCTGCCGAAGCTTGGACTCGCATCCCAACTGGGCATAGGGCAGGTTCAATAGCTACTGCACATCTCTTTGAACTACCCACCTCATGTGAAAACTTTCAGGCCAGAAAGCCTATTCACTCTGTGCATATGCAGCGTAATCCTTTTGGCTCCTGAACTTTGGACTTTATGCCCAAATTGAGAGCCAAATTCTTTTTTTAAATACTGTTCTCAGTTTGGCTTCTCCAGTGTGGTAGTAGGTGCCACGCACTAAATGAAGTAAATGTCGAGGGATAGAGGCCATTTGGGCATGACTGGAGCCACAGTTTGATCCCCAGGTCTGTGCAAATAAAACGTTAGTTGACTCTGCCAAGAAAAAATGTTTTATTTCTAGGGATGTATCCCAGGAACTTACTGTTCAGAGTAGTGCCTATGTTCCAAACGTAGGGGTCATCTGAATGACAGTGTATGGTAGCAGATTTTAGGGCAGTTTGTGTAAGCATACGGATTTTTCGAAAGCCTGGAAGAACTGGTCTTTAAGCAGAGGTGGGCTCTCAGCCTTGCTATAGCAGAGGTCAGGTTCCATTGCATTTGTGTATTTCCCTCTGCTTCTTTACCAGAAAACTCGGCAGAGGATCTGAGTTAAGATGTTGTCTGAAGACTGAACCGGGAAGACAGTGGACTTTCTCCGCGGTAAAGAGCAAAACTTCAGCTTAAAAGGAGTGAGTCATGGACTTTCTATTTTATTGGCAATGAACTGAGCTGAAGAATGGGGCTGTACTCTTTTCTAACTCGCTTGCTCTTGTATAAGGTGCACAAGGGGCAGGCACTAGTTAATAGAATTAAAGTTACTTAAAAAAATGTGTGCGATGAAACAAGGTGGGACTCGGTCCTCTATCTCTGCTTTTCCAGATAATCCTGGAAAAGAGTGGAAAAAAGACAAACCACGAAGAAAAGGAAAAAAATTAATGCAGAGCTTTCCAATAGCCTGCAGTAGGCGTTGGCTCAGAACCATGGTTCGTTTGACTTGTCTTTTAATGTTCTGCAGTTTCCATCTATGCCATTCTCAGTAAAGATGCTTATGAATATTGGGAGCCTAGCCTGAAACTAGGAGAAGTTTTCTCCACTACAAAATTGCAGTGGCTATCAGGAGGCACGATGACAGGTGTGAGATTGTGATGAAGCACTTACTCCCCTGCAGCTCTGCCTAGTCTGACAGCTTTTTGGGATGAAATAGAGTTGTGCATTAAGGACCTCAAATTCTTTCCAAGGAATCTCACAGATAGTTGAGAGTGAAGACATTGAGTCATTTCTTGGGAGAGGATTTTGTTTTTATATCCTCAATGCAGGGTGTTGCCATAATATTAATCATTATTGTGGGTAGAAACAAATATATTTAGGCTGCAGTTTTGACCCAGTCTGTTTTTCTGCTTTTCTGCATTGGTATTTGCTAGTGTGAATTGTATTTCGTGGTTTTTTTTTTTTTTTTCTTTTTCTCTCAGCAACTGTATTTATAATTATGCCAAGCGGGAACAACAGGAAATAGCATGACCCAACTGTACAAGCAAGCCAGCTTTCTGAATTTTTGAATTATAAAGGAAAGTGTTTTTTTTTTTTCTAAATAATCTGATGTTAATGTAACTGCAATAACCTAAAATATAAACGCTATCCCACACTGCCAACAGAACAGGCCTTCTACACAAGGAGGGCCATTTGTTCCCTCTACTGTACCTTCATTCTGGAATTGTGATCTTTGAGAGTTCAGTCTAGATGAAAACATACACACTTCCCCAGGTTATTTCTTTTAGAATTTGAATTTTCTTAAGCTTAAAAAATACAAATTAGTCCTTGAGATCTTCAAACTGTGTTTGAATATGTGGATATCATGCATTAAGCTCTTGGTTTTCCTCCCGTGTTATCGCCTGTCAGATCTCCTCTTTGTGTTCGCTTCTCTGCCACCTTGTCTCATAGGCTGTTGTTTTCCCACTCCTGTCTCAATGCCAATCCCTTTTTTCATTCTGCTTTCCTAAGCCATCCCCCTTCACTTGTTCAGAGACCTTCCTCAAGCTCTCGTCTTCAGCCACATTCAGAAGCAGTAAGCCCCAGTAAGCTAAAATAACACATCCTTTTCTCCCGGTCTTCCTCATCTCTCTTTTTCTCTGTGTTGCTTTTTACACTGCCAACATCTTGGGGCCAGCATTATCTACGTATTGTTTATTGCACAGCACCTCATTGCTTTACATGTAGTTACCTCTAAGTATTGGCACGTTCTTAGTGATCAGTACTTTGTATTTATCAAGCAAGATGTGTTTGAGGGATGCAGTGTTTAGATCTGGATTAGATCTAGGATTATGTATTAAGGCTCACGACTGAAATGGAGCTGTATTTGAGATTTGACAGAATTGCACTCACCAACAAGATTTTGGCCCTGAAATAGAAGGTCAACGTTTGGCTGGTTGCTCCGCCACTTGAGATTAATGGAGCTGTTCCTGGTTGTTATCAGCTTAACTGGACTTTTAGTCCCTTTACAACGTCAAATGTAGGGGGAGGAGGCTTTTTAATTCTAGTTTTGAAACAATTAGGTTTGGGAAAATTTGGAGGAAAAAATGAAAAGCAAGCGTATACTTCCTACAGTACGTTTCTCCCGGCTCTGAAACTTCTGTCTGTGTTGCCCCAGAATGATTTAAAGACTTCAGTTTCTGGCTCTGAGCTCCAGATGCTTCAGGTGCCTTTTACCTTCTCCCTCACCTTTAAGTAAAATATGACGTTTTCCCATCGTGTCTCCACAGTTTGCTTGCTTTCTTTGGCTATTACCTTCTACCTGACTTACCACCGAAGTGAAGTTAGACCTACAGAGGAGACGTTAAATCAGAAATGTCTCTACACTGATAGCAAATCTCTGCAATAATGCTAACAAGCCGCAAGACCTGATTTTTCACCTATCCTGGTATTATGCTGATGTCATCTAATTGATTTCAATGGATTACTCTGGTCAACCTAGTGTCAGGCTCAGAGGCTATAGTAAGTACTTGCATGTTGCTTAACATCAAAGCGTTACCTTTCAGTACAGGCACCCTCCCTCATCCCTGGCAGAGAGAAAATGTAACAACTCCCTCCTAATCTCTCCTGCTCCCTAAACCTAAAAGTGCCAAGGGATTTTGATCAGACACTGTCAAAGTATGAGGCCCATCTTCAAAGAAAGAAAGGAGTTGCTGAGGCTGGAAACATTCATCTATATGTGTGTGTGTGATAGAAAAATAAGATCCAGATAAACTTCTCAGTGTGCATATATATATATATATATATATTTTAAATTATTTTGGAGGAGGTGGGGAAGGTGTTTTGTTTTTGTCCCTATCCCCCTGTGAGTTCGTGTTGCAAATTCTACCGTGCGTCCTTTGTGGACTGAAATGGAATTGCTTTGCAGCATCTCTGTCTGCTTACGAAGAGTTGCTACTGCTGTCTAAGCCCTGGAATAAGGAGCTGATCTCAGACCCTGTCTGTGCTGAACTGCTAAGAAGAGGAAGAGAAGAGAGAGAAGCCTCCAGGTTTTGTAGACTGGTAAGGATTATCGTGGGAGGCGGATTGGGAGCCAAAGAGGACCTCAGATGTTGCTATGGAATGAACAAAACGATGTGAGGAGTACAGTACTGGTCATGAAGACTTTAGAAGTAGTACTGAAGTTCCTTGAAAATCGTGTCTACCTCTGTCCCTTAGCGTATCAAGCCTTTGTGGTGATCTACAGTGGCATCAGAGAATTAATTGCGTGTAGCAAAAACTGTGAGGGTGGAGGCCTGTTCTCACCTTTGTGGGAACTAAGTACGGAACCTCTTGCTGGAGAGTTAGCAGTAGAGAGACAAGAGTCTTGTATGTGCACAGCGTATCAATGATTGCATAAAATCACACACAGATTTGGAAGGTCTGATCCTCTGCAGATAGAAAAGGCTTTGGTAGAAGTAAGGGTTTGTCCTCATTGCTTCTCTCAGGAGTACAGGTACTACTTTTATGCTAAGGATGGCTTAGCATCCCTACTCGAGGTGGTGACTGTTATTCATTCTGCGCTCCAAATACATCTAGGCTTCGGCAGAAGCGTAGACAGTCCTCCTCACACCGGAGAACTTTTAGTTTTTTAGTGTTGTTTTTGAAGACCTACCAAACTCCTGCGAGGTCTTTGTTTCTTGTAGTTCAAGCTTACACTGCAATTTTTTGTTTCTTACGGGGGGGCGGTGTGCAGGAGGGCTGAGTTTTGTATAAATAAATCCTGAAGCATCTTGTTCTTCACTCTAGGGGTAGAAACGTCCAGCAAATGTTACACTGGCCTAAGTGAATGTGCTTTTCTTGAGCTGTTGAGACCATGTAAATTTTTCATTAGCTCTTTCTCTTTATACTTTTCCTTTTTCTTGGTGTCTGCTAATCAAATTTGAATTCAGTACTTGAATCTAAACTCTGATGTTCACAGTGGATTTGTGATTGGACTGAGATGATTCATCCTGTCTGTGTTGAACCCACCTAATCTACCTGCAGGTTGTATTCATGCCCTTTGTAGCGCAACGTTTCTGTCGCCCAAGCAAGAAAAATAGACCTTCACATGCTTGGCTGATCCGTGTAAGCTGCTGTTTAGTGAACAGGCCCTTTGGTGTGTCATTTTTTTCCTGCTTGTTTGATAAACTTGAGACGTAGTTACTTTGAAGATTGGACATTATCTACCTGGTCTGGGAACAGTTCCATGAAAACTGAGATTGGATCTCTGGGCTGCTGACAAGCTAATTCTGGACATTATGGCAAGCCCCAAGGTCAGTGCGCCTTTCAACAGCAGAATACAATTTCTGATGCATTCATCTCTCCTTTTAAACAGGTCTCTCTCAGCCTGAGTTCCACTTCTTAGTGGTGTGAGTGTTCAAGCTCATATACATTGTAGAGAAGTTTAAAAAATATTGAGATAGGAAAGGAAGAAGACCTTACTTCAGACACTGGAGAGGCAATAAAGTGACGCTGGGGTCTTCACCCCTGTAAGCCTCCATCCATTCTCTTGGTTGAGGGGGAAGAAAAAAACCCCAAAAACCCCAAAAAACCCAAACCCTTGCTGTGTTATAGTAACTTTGGAGTGAAAAGAACCTATAAGCAGATGTTTCCTGGGAGACAAATAGAAGGGGTTTCTTGGATGATTTTTGTCTTGTTATTTATAGGCACCGCCACACCAAGCCCTTTTATTGGCCATTTCAGCAGGGAGGCGAAGGAGTTGAAAAGCTGGTGGTGCTGAGCATAGTTCCTGCAGGGCAGCCCAGGGGTGTTGTGCTAAGGCCAGAGGTGAGGCTGGCAGGACCAGTGTGATTTGTAGGTCCTGCACCTCTTGCAGCTCTCTGGGGAGCATTCACTCCTACAGTTCACACCTGGCAATTGTGTGCAGTTAGGGACTACTGGTATCAGAAGGGACTGTTGGGTGGCTTCTCCTGTGCTGTCAAAACATGTTTCTCTTTCATTATTGGCAATTAGTGTTTAAGCATCGCTAGTCATAAAGTAGAACCCTGGTGCGTGTTGACTTAATATATAGAAATCCCATTTTGCACACAGGAAACCTTGGAAAGATGATTTCTTGGTACGAATAATAAATCATAGGTAATACGTTCTAGCTTCCATTGTCAGATAGTTAATTCCGTTACCTGTGGACTGTCTTCTCTTGTTGCGATTGACTGATTCTTTATTACTGAGTTTCTGCAAAGAAGCTGAAATAGATGTTGGACTTCCTTGCACCTTCAAGTCCCTAACAAGGCAGTCTCCTTGCAGAGTGTCAGGAAGAGCCAGGCCTGCACCTCCTACCCTATGAGATCAGTGTCTCTCCACAGGTGTTGGGTGGTGCCAGAAGAGAAGGTCCACCTCTTTCTTGGGAAGTCAGCCAGGAGTCCTGCTGCTTTCACACTACAGTCTCCTCTGTATCTCTCATCAACAAATCAGCTCCAGGGTTTAAATACGTTCACAGCCAGTTGGAACCAAAGAGAACTGGGAATAAAAAGACCAGCAGTTAGAAACGCTTCAGTTTTCAAGCAATAAGGTTACAAGCATAAACACAGTAACGCTTAATGCTGGAAATTTAAGGGTATAGAGTCTCCAGTGCATTACGTTCCAGGCAATGCAAACAAAGGCACGTGAGGAGAAAGAGAGGTTGTGTCCTGCAAACCAAGAGACACGTGTTCCAATACACTTGCTATGTATGAGTGTGTGCAAGCTGTTATCTGTCTCTGTGCTTTAGTTACTCCAGGAAATGGGGAAAATTGTAGTCAGATGAAATATGCCATGTCAATTATTTTTCTTTCTTATGAAAGATCCTTCCTCTTTATCCACGCCCTGCAATGTGTGCCATGTTTTGCGCACTGTTTCTGAACCCTCTGACTTGCTGACCTTCTTTGGGCAAATAAAGGTCTGATGTAACGTTTCCCGAGTCCCATCTGATACACGTTCCCTTTGATCCTGGCGAAGCTGTTTTACGATGGCCAGAGGCACTGCTGCAGAGCTCCCGGAGTTCAGTGTCTTCTCTGGCAATACCAGGACCACTGTAGACCCTGCCTGTCTGGAAAATCAGGACTCTCCCTGGAGAGACAGTCTTGCTGCCTGTTGGAAGGTAGTGGAGAATGGCAGCTGTGCTTAGACCTTAATAAAGGTCTTTTGAGTAGTATTATGTGTTTCTGCAATGTCTGTAATGGTACATAGTATTAAAAGAGAGGTTAATGTTACTACTACGAGTATCAAGCAAGGGGGAAGGTGCTCTTATTTTTAGTGAAAAGTTTATGGCTTTGTTTACTGCAGGAGTGTCCAGCTCCCTGTGCAGAGATTGCAGAGAGCCTGAAGAGGTGGTGTTTAGCTTACGCCTGAGTGTTCAGGCCAATCTGGCTGAGACTGAGATTATTAGATAGTGAAATTTTGCGTTCAGATCTTGCAGGATTGGAGTGAAAGGTAGCAGAAAACTTACAGGAGCAACTTTCTCCTTTGAGAAGATGACAGGCCCTGTCATCTTGCAGTGAAATTTGTTAAGACCGAGCTCTCTGGTTTGGCTATGCTAGAACTAGATTTGGGCTTCTTCTGGATCTAGGTCTGGATAAATTAAACCAGAGTAGCACGATACATGGTTTGGGGGATTTAATTCCAGACTGTTCATCCCCCAGTTCTGAAGAGGTTCAGATCCAAGGGTCAGATTTCAGGAAATTTTCATGAAGGGAGTGACTATTTAAAGAGTTGCAAGAGCCCCAGAAACCAGAGTTCTTTGTTCGTAGGCCATATGCAGTGCAGAAAACAGCAATAGCAGCAATCCGTTTCCCTGTGAATTGCAAACAAGCTTAACCCTGAGTTGGAAAGACCATACTCTGGAGAGGTGAAAGGAAATTCAATATCTGAGCTAAGTGTGTTCTGACTTCCTTGGAAGAAAGACTGCCAACTGTACAAAGTTAGGCTGATTATGTGACGAGGACCCATTGTCCACAGAGGCCTCCGTGAGCCAATGACGTTCACGGAGGACTGCAAAATAAGCAGCCCCCCAGGGTGGGGGGTATGGAGGTAGGCAGTAGACCCTTATTACCCTTATCCTTGCTATACTTCGATGCCTTGGAGAGCTTCAAGGTGAAACCTTTGATGTCTCTTTTACAATGATCTGTTTCTCTACATATTTTGACGTATCTGGTTCCAATGGTACTAAAAATTAGCTGTGACTGAGAACTTTTCCAATGCAAAGTACTTGTTAAAATATAACACGTGTCCAGACCAGACTAGACCAGACTTGAATAAAGATTGTACTATTCTCCAAATTATATTGAAAGTTTGGCAATTTTCTTGAGCTTACAATGTAACTTTCCATTGAAGTCTAATTATAGTCTTAACAGCGAAAAGTCTTTCCTGTTTTGTAAAGAATAATACTGACCTTTACCAAGTCCAATCCCTATTTTTAAAGTCTGATATTCAGGGATGTGTTGCTATTTGGCTTTTTTTTTTTCTTTTCAACAAGTGATTCTAAAAGGGAGCATCATCTTTTCCAACCTGTTTTCTAAGCAGTGCCGTTTCTATTTGTCAGCCCGAGCTTCGCTGCAGTATGACAGATGTTTCTGCTGGACTATTTATGTTACCTTTCTTGTGTGCTGCGTTTCTGTCTCCCTTGGTGTGGTTTTTGTCTTTTCATTCTTACAGGATGCTATTTGGCCCTGGCCTACATTTGTCTTCCGCAGCTGGAGGTGGATGCCCCATGACACTACCTCCTTTGAAGCTTTATTTTCTATTTGAGGGAATTTTGCTACAGCAACAAGCAGGTAGCATTTTCTGATAAAGTGAAGGAACTCCCTCTGTCTTCTCTTCATACGAACATTGTCTTGACAGTTGGGTGTTTGGAGTTTGAGACTGGAAACGTTGCTCGCTCTTTACATATTTCCAATAGTCTTAATGCAACTCCCTGTGATGTCAATCCCTTTAATTCAGTGAAAGCTCTGGGCTCTTAGCACTGCTGAAGTCTAGGTTACTAACCCAAAGCAGTATTTGAATAGTATAGTGAAGTATTTACATCAACTATTCTGTGCCTAAGTTTA